CTACTACTACTACTACTACTATTACTGCCACTCGACTACTACTACTACTACTACTACTGCTACTGCTACTACTACTACTAGTACTACTACTACTACTACTACGATTACTACTACGACTACTACTACTACTACTACTACTGCTACGACTACTACTACTACTACTACTACTACTACTACGGCGACTACTACTACTACTACTAATACTACCACTGCCTGCTAACATTATTAGTTTTACGACCACTACTACTACTATTATTTCATACTACTAATGCTACTGCTACTACTACGACTACTACGACTACTACTACGATTATTATTACTACTACAAGTAACGTTACTACTACTACTACGACTACTACTAACAAGACTACTACTACTACTACTACTACGACTACTACTACTACTACTGCTACTACTCATTCTACTCTACTACTATTACTACTACTACTACTACTACTGCTGCTACTACTTCTACGACTACTACTACGACTAGTACTATTTTTTCCATCGCTGCTTCTACGACTACTACTGCTACCACTATTACTACCACTACTACTACCACTACTACTACTACTACTACTACTACTACTACTACTACCACTACTACTGCTACTACTACTACGACTGCTACTACTTCCTATTACTAGTAGTACTACTGTTAGTATTACTAGTACTACTACTACGACTACTACTACGACTACTACTACTACTACGACTACGACTACTACAACTATTCTTACTACTACTACTACTACTACTACTACTACGACTACTAGTACTACTATTGCTACTACTACTACTACTACTACTACTACTACGACTACTACTACTACTACTACTACTACTATTACTACTACTACTACTACTACTACTACTACTACTAGTACTGTTACTACTACTACGACTACTACGACTACTACTACGACGACGACTACTATTATTGGTGTTCTTAGTATTGTACTTCTAGTACTAGTACTACTACTACTACTACTATTACTACTACTACTACTGCTACTACTACTACTACTACTACCACTACCACGACCACTACTACTACTACTATACGACTACGAATGCTACTACTTTTTCTTACTACCACTATTTGGCTCCAACAAAAGTTTCCTTGGAAACTCGCAAGAGGAATAATATGTATGTAAACCCGTCGGCAAGATGAAAAGTCGCGCGCGCGTGCTCAGCGTTCGCACGCACGCGACCCCAAGACGTCCCATAGCCACAACATGCTTCCAGGAATGCCTCAGGCCACGGACGATAACGTCCAGAGGGCCCAGGATGATGCCACCCCAACGCGATCCCGCCATGGATTCTGGACCGTCTCAGGCCGACTCGCAGATGACGAAACACATGAGCAACGCGTGACGCCGAGATGGCCCGATGGCAACAAGATGGATCCAAGCGCGCCCAGGGTGGCCTCATAATGACCACGCGATGGTTGCGTGATCCAAACATGAACGGGATATGATCTCAAGATGACCTCAAGACGACCCCAACACGGCAATAATATTGCAATTTATGAGCCCCATTTTATTTCGAGCCGATCCCAGCATGGTGGGATCCGTGAACGGCCCGGGATTTTGGTCTACCCCATTTTTAATGGGTGGGACGTTGATCGTCCTGCACTAAATTTATAATATTAAAGCGGAATATGCCAGGCGGGATCCCGCCCGGCCCACGGAGGAAGACAACATTGCTAGGCTTCTACGGGGGTAGGGGGTTCGGAAGGGGCGTCGTTTACTTCCACTGACATTGGCAAGCCTTCCGGCGGCCTTCCCCCGTCATCCGCCTCGTTTTATTTCCGTCGACTTCCGCCGGCCAGCGTCGTGATGAAATTTCCAGGAATTTTCATTGGGCCGATGTACTAGTACTACTACTACTACTACTACTACTACTACTACTACTACTACTACTACTACTACTACTACTACTACTACTACTACTACTACTACTACTACTACTACTACTACTACTACTACTACTACTACTACTACTACTACTACTACTACTACTACTACTACTACTACTACTACTACTACTACTACTACTACTACTACTACTACTACTACTACTGCTACTACTGTTGTTATTACTACTACGACTACTACTACTACTACTACTACCACCACCACTACTACTACTACTACTACTTCTTCTGCTACTGTTACTACTACTTCCTACTACTATTTTTATTTCTACTAACCACTACTTCCTACTACTATTTTTATTTCTACTACTACCACTACTACCACTACTGCTACTATTATTTCTAGTACTATTACTATTACTGATACTACTACTACTACTACTACTACTACTACTACTTCTACTACTACTACTACGACTACTACTACTATTACTGATGTTACCACTACTACCACTACTACTACTACTACTACTACTACTACTACTACTACTACTAGTTCTACTGCACTACTACTACTACTACTACTACTACTACTACTACTACTACTACTACTATTACTAC